CTGCAATGCAAACAATTCATGATTATTTCAATTGTGTGTGTGTGTGTGTATTAAGTATTAGGCCTATACTTTTAATAACTATGTTTAAATGAGTTTAAATCCATGTTGGGCTTACTTATATTACTGGTAATTATTAAGATTAAAAAGGGATTTCGGTCATTCAAAGAGAATTTGAGCTATGACAATGTGATATGAAAAAAATATTTTTATTGGGACACAAAAAATCCTGCATTAGAGAAAGCCCCACCTTGCATGAACCATTAAATTGTTGCTGGGTAACAGAGGCAATCTGTTGGTAAATGGGCAGGCTTTAGCAAAGTGAGCAGAGGCCATTCACACAATGGCGGCACATTGCCTCTTTGCCGTACTTGAAATGCGCCCCTTGCAAACTTTAAAAACTAATACAGACTAACCCTTATTTCCCCTGTCTTTCAGGCCAGCAAACACAGGACACAATATGAGTTTTTCACCACCAGTGGTGACTTATGGGGAGTCAGCTTCTATGGCCTTCTGGGATACAATAGACGGAACATGCCTCCAGCCACTGCGCCCGGCAACTGCCTCCAGAGCAAAAAAATCCCCAGCGGCAAATACTTCTGTACAGGATCATCACTATGACCACACAAAGACTAGCCGCACATGAGCAGGGCTGGAAACTTGTCATATCTGCGATTGTGGAAATAAATCTCATGTATGAAGCAACTTCTCTCAAAGTTTTTTTTTTTTTTTATGTCTTCTCAGAGACATTTTGTATTGATAACACGTGCAACTAAGCACATCCTATGTTTTTTTTCATGCATTATTTCTCTCTTATTATCCTCCATAATTTAGTCATTCATTGGTGAAACAAAAATAATGCTCGCTATCCTTAGCGAATTATTATTGTTTCCTTTTAAGGCAATAATACTAGGCTACTATTCCACCAAATACAATAATAACAGCATAGAGTATTATAATAAAAAAATGTACCCAAATGCATTAGTTGCTCAGCCAAATTGTGTGTATTTATTCATTATTAAAGGGAAAAGGCTCTCTGCTTCATATGAAAGCTTAGTCACTTATAATGCAAATAATAAAGAAACACACTTACAGGTATTTGTTCTCTGTTTCCACTCATACATACGTTGAGTATCTTCAGCGATAGTGCTGGTATGCTGGGATCTAAATGGCAGGGGTGTCCCACGGGGGGCTTCGGTTGACTGCTTGCCGACCTTTGCTGCCCTCGGACCACTAGCCACAATTCAAACAAGAGGCACAAGGGACACATCAAGGGCAACGAAGGGCTAAAGAGGATTATAGATCAGCGGACATATGCCTGGTGAAGGCCGCTTGACCGAAACCTTGTAATAAATACTGCTTGTTTTTGCAAGCTATGGCAGTGTGTGGTATTTTTTCATTCATTTTCTTTAAATAGATCAACAAACATAGAAAAGAATGTGTTTGTTTGACTCTTATAATACTATTTTAGTACAAAGAAATGTTTGGGTTTTATGATCTACACCTTTTTCTGAATGCAATATTAAAGTGACTGATGTTTTCATTATTGTGCATTGCAATAAAATACAATTATTATTAAATTATTCTTTTTATTCTACATTTATGAATATGTAATGTAAATTAATATTACACAGATTAATTAAAACATTTCCAATCTTTCCAGGTTTAACAAATATTTTAGATATTTCTATTGTCCTAATGTCCAGCAGCTCTTTCTTTGTACTCTCCCAATATCTTCAAGATATATATATATTTTAATGAGATATAACCAATTAAAACAATATATACATTTTTCATGTAAAACTTTCTTTTATGTGAGGAGGCAAACAATAAAAATAAAGCCTCTCTGGAGATCTCATTCGTTTTAAGCGTCAGTATAGATGCTTTCACAAGGGGGCAGTCACTTCTGTCCAAATGCTCTGTTGTAGCTCACTACCTCAACTCGTTATGCAGTCTACTTAATTGCATTACACCGACACTACAAGCACCTTCCACCCTCAAATACTCAATCATATATAAACAACAACAAAAAAGACGGCTCATTCCCCTCATCTTAAAACATGTAAACCAATGCATCTATGTAAGTCACACAAATATTATGTCTTGTTTTGCAGCTAACATGTTCATGCAGGCCTGTGAACCTACTGTTATATAGTGTATTTGCATTATGGAAAATCAAGCACTCTACTGTTATATAGTGTATTTGCATTATGAAAAAATCAAGCACTCTACTGTTATATAGTGTATTTGCATTATGGAAAATCAAGAAGCTCTCTGTACAAAACCAAAGCACCCAGGTTCGTTAGTTTCCTCAAGCATCCTTGCTTTCACTCTATTCATTTCCAGACAAAAAGAACAAGGTTAGGTCACCCATTATTACAAGTTCTCATTATTTATTTTGCTGCTCTCAACTGAGCTAACACAATAATGAAACTCATTATTTAACACAGACAGCGGATCGGTCATTAAAAAGATACCTTTCGAGAAGATTCGCTCGTTCGAGCACTGGGAACGACGACCCTCAAAAGGGCTGTTTTGTGGGCCTCGGATAAAATGCTTTGTGTGAATGGAGTCTTCTTAGGAAAAGAAAAGAGCCTCTTCGGCTGTTTGTTTTGGAATTTGTATCATTGATCCAAGAGCAGCAACTAGAAGATGAGGCCCGTATCGACAATAGCACTCACGACAACATTACTCCAGTGTCACATGGATGAGAACCATGGTGCAAATTCATTTTATTCATAACTCTAGCCTTGGAAGAGTAATATTGTGTTTTTTTAAAAATAAAACCCCAAAACTCTGTAACTCTATCATGTCAACAATGAGAGTGGGTAAACCCTGACAAAACAAAAATAATGCTCATTCTAATTTTTTCTTTTTTATTATTATTATTTTTAAGTAATACTGTATTA